CATCGTTCCAACGGCACCTTGGATCTTATCACAATGAAAGCAACGAACCAAACACCAAACTAGGAAATGGATTTTAAAAAAAACACCGATGGCTTGAACACGATATCATTGTCCTCAAACTATATTTGCCCCCTCGGATTGAAAATAATGCTTGTAGGGTAAGACAAATGGTTTGCAGGATTTAAACAAGCTTTATAAAGAATTAACACTCAAGCATTTAAGTGTAATTCTCCAAAACTTAAAGAACATTAAAGAAGGAGTTGAATATGATGAATATTGTGATTTGTTGTTTTGGAATGAATTTTTGTTCTTGAATATGGCTATGGTTTTTGTATGTTTTCAACATGTTTTTAATGATCACAAACCACCTATATATAGCCGTGAAACATTACTATACGAAGTGGTGTCAAAAACCCTCTAAAAGCCACCAAAATTCAAAAGGCAATGGCCAAATAACGGCTAGAATTTTGCTCTATGCGGTTGCATAGGCCAAACTTTTGAAACCGCATAGTTATTTCAAAGAAGGGCCTCCAGTCCCGGTAAGTATCTATGCGACCGCATGATACATTGAACTATGTAGTCACAAAGTTCAATATTTTGGCCTCAAATCCCATATTTCATTCCACGTCCATTTTTATCAATTTTGAACAATATTTCTACCACGTTTCATGTACATTGTGATCAAAACTAATAAAACATATACACTATCATCAAATTTGGACCTTATGAATATGACTACCATGAGCAAGACTTGCAAGACCAACTTGGTGTGCTGATAATATTCAAAACAAAAGTTTTCAAACCTATCAACAGAGCAACAAAAAATATTTAATAAATCATAAAAAAATACGTTAAGAACAAACGTACGAAATTAAAAATCATTTCTTGAATTAAAACTTCAAATACCAAAATCATTTCTTGAATTCAAATCCTTTCTCTCACCTTCAACGATTCCATTTGGACTCTCCTGTGTTCTAAATGTGATTACAAATAGAGATACAGTTTGTAGTGTTCTTAGAGTGTATTGAAGATGTTTCATTTTTTATTCACCAAATTCTTGGCTCATCAGTATAATGGTGACACGAGAGTAAAGTATTTGAATGAATGATTTCAGCTTTTACTATATTAACTGTGGGATTTATTATATTTTGCATTTTTATTTATACTACATATATTACAATATGGGTTAATTTCACAAACGGTCATGAAGTTATGTCAAAATTACAAAACGGTCACTGAAGTTTAAAACTTGCACAACGGTCCCTGAAATATCGTCCGATTTCAGTAATGATCACTGAAAGACCTTTTTCATTTTAATTGGAACTTAATGGACCAAAACACGGGAACATATAACCTTGAGGACCTGAAGTGCACATTTCATCTAACCCCCCCTCTCCCAAACCCAAATTTCATCTTAAAACCCCCCAAATTCTCTCAACACGCAGAAACGGGCTGCATATACACCAATTGGCTGATTCAAGGGAAATTGATGATGACCCATATGTTCTTCTTGTTCGCCTTGATTAGTAAAAGCTAATGGTGGTGGTGCACGATTGTGACTCGTAGTGTCGCGCCGAAAAATGGGTTTGAAAGCAGCGAGTTCGCTGTTTCGACCGTTTCGAAAATCTCCTGCAGATTTTGATTTTCAACTGGTTTTGATGTTATGAACACATATGTAGAGGCGAAATGGGGTGCTTGATCGACTTGGAGGATGGGTATGCCATGGGTGTCGCCGAAAATTCCAAAATTCGACCGTTTCATTGTGTATGGGCAGTCCATTTTGGCAAGATTTTTCGGCCAATTTCGACGGGATTATGGCCAGTGGTTGGGTAGGTTGTGAAAAAGGCATTGATGGCTTCAAGATGGTATGTTGGTCCGGTGGCCGGAGGTTGGAGTTATGGTAGTCCAAAAGTGGCGACTCCAAATCTCCAAAATCCGGCCATTTCATTGTGCGTGGGAAGCCTACTTTGGAGCGATTTTCCAGCCAATTCTGATGGGATTACGGCTAATGGTTAGTGGGTTGTAAAGAGGGCATTAAGGGCTTCAAGACGGTATGTTGGTCCGATGGCCAAAGTGGCCGGAGGTTAGAGTTATGGTGGTCCAAAGGTGGCGGCTCCAAGTTCTCCAAAATCCGGTTGTTTCATTGTGCATGGGCAGCCCACTTTGGCGAGATTTTTCGGCCAATTCCGACAAGATTAGAGCCAGTGGTTGGGTAGGTTGTGAAGAAGGCATTGAGGGCTTCAAGAGGGTATATTGGTCCGGTGGCCGAAGGTTGGAGTTATGGTTTAACATGATATCCTATCAGAGTTGCCATATTTATGAAAAATTCTGCAACTGAAGCAAACTGACCTGTAAATCTCCAGAACTGCAACCCCTTCTCATTTGACCATAAAAGAAATTGCCTTATAGGAAATTCAGCATTTCATTTTGCAAATTTAGAGACTAAAAAGGATTATCAAATCTAGGCTGAAATAGAAAATTCGATTTATTTTCGAAAGCATTGCTGCTATAACTCCTCTGCAAGAACTTTATTGTAGACTCAACAGCACCATCATGAATCTCGAGCAGAATTGAATTTCCATATTCCGAAAAAAAAGTCAAAAGGGAATTGATCTTCCTTTGTTTTAACTTCTAAAACAAAGTACTCAGCATTTGTTGAATGGGATAAGGACGGATTCTCAAACTGAGAAGAAGAAATTAGGTCCAAAGAATTGATTTCATCAAATGGGTTTTTTTTTGAATCAAATTAAAACTATTTTTGCCATTTTTTTGAATTTCTTGGAAAATATCATGAAAAGAGGATTTGATTATTTGAGTTCTTGATTCGTAGCTCATGTTAAGGATTGTGAAGAATTAATTTGATGATATTAGCATGATTTTCACCCTAACCCCTCCCAAAATCGGCTTCCATTCTCCTGTAGTGTTTCACGCCAAAAAGAAATGGTTTTTGGAACAAAAATTGCGATTTAGGTCCTCAAGGTTCA